TTATTATATAAAACTATTCTAGTGTAGAGGTCTAATTTGTTGGTCATAGCATATTACGTGTAGAACGTACAAAATGAAGATAACTAGATGCGGCGTATCCAAAATGAGAAAAACGAGCTGTATGGAGCGAGAGGAAAAAACGTCTAACCTTCCTTGTCCGGTCTGCCCCGCCACACACCGGGCGCCGCCCCGCGCCCCGCCTAAGGGCCCTCGCTCAGGGCCGCACCCCGGCACCCCCGGCCCTTCCCTCCTCGCCCTGCCGACCTCGCCCATGGCCCTTGTCGGCCAGCGGGGCGGGCTGGTTGCACGCAGGCCCGCCCCCACGGCGGGTGGGGCGGGGCCGGGCGGGCCGGCGCTACACCACTGGAGCGGGGCGCGGTGGCGCGGCGCGGCGGGGCGCTACTGGCCGGACAACCCTTCCCGATGACGACGAGGACCGCGCCGAGCTGGCGCCCGCGCGCCTTCGTGCCTCCCTCCCGCCTGGCGCAGCGCAGCTCCCACCGCGGGTAGGGGCGGCGCGGCGCCGGGCGGACTCTGGCTCAGGTACGTCGCGGACGCTGGCGCGGACCGCCCCCGCCGAGGCGGCGTCGCTCTTTCGCACCCCGGCCACCGGATGTGCTGGGTGTGTGGGCTCAGGAGAGTGCGCGCCGCCGCGGCCGTTGGGGCGCAGGTCCTGAGGACCACGTCCTCCCCGGCGCAGGGCCCGGTGCTGCCCTGCGCCCGCCGACCACACCCTCGACTGTGATATCCCTAGGCGCTGGGCGGGGGTCTGCTTCCGGCCGAGCGCGCCCTCGGCAACCCCCATGGGCTCGAGACCCGACAAGAGGACGACGCCGCCCCCGCCCTCGAGACCGTCCCCGCGATGGCGCGGCGGCACGGCGGGCGCGGGGCGGCCGGCACGCAGGCACGCCACGCCACGCCACTCCCCGCACGGGGTATTACCCTCGGGGTTCGACCCCCTGGGTACGGCTGGCCAGGACCGCGCCGAGGGTCCGCGCGGCCGGAGTACACCCGCCCTGAATTAAGCGACACCCTTGTCAAGTGCTTCGCAGAGCGCAAAGCAAAGTAGGCCAGAACCCAGAGTACCTCGGGAAAGTCACAATGAGGTCATATTGGTGTCGCCTTACATTACATTGACGTAAAAAAATGATCCGTGTTTTGCCGAAATTTAGATGACTTAAATTTTGACTCGAGATGCCAACATGACGCCACTGTGACCGTTTCGTGTTGCTCCGGGTCGGCTTGGCGGTACCACACCATTTCGTTCCCTTATCTCCCTTACCTCCGTAACTACTCTTACTGGCCGAGCGCCCGGCCGGGGGCATCCTTACTCACGGGGCCCCCGCGCTGGCCGCCCGGCCGCCTGTTCTCGGCCCTTCCCGGAGCTGGGCCCGAGACGGCGAGGCGCACCCCTCAGCACCGTTTGGGGCTCAGTCGCCTTCGCACCCGCTGTCCGGAGCATCAAGGGTTGCGTGGCGAAAAACGGTGCCGACGGGTCGCCCACTAGACATCACTTTGTTACGTTAAACAGGTCACAACGCAATAAGGTCCCTCTATATGTATTGTACGTAAGTTAGATCTTGTGGATATAGCAAAAAGGATTAAACGGAGATTCTAAACGCAATGTCTTGTGTTGAGGTGGTTATTATTTTGTGCATGCACCCTGTCCCATTATCACCTCTAAGTAGTAATAGTCTCACGGGAAAAAAATGTTACAAAAACGAATAATTACCAATAGATTTTGCCATAGTCAACACATTTATTTGAGGACATAATTTTTTTTTATAAAAAAGGAAAACACATATTTTACAAGATTAAGGGACATTTTTATGTAATGCTTCATGGAAAGAAAAATCGGCCCTTCAATCCTAGTACTTTTTCAACAGTGCATTTGCTTTAAGAATCAATATTTAACTCATATCATGTGCCATTATTCCTTTAAAATTGTTAGTAGGGAAGACACATTTCCTGCATTCCGCAACAAATGGACTGCAGAAGTGATGGAAGATGGCTCTGTGGGCTTTGCATAAGCATCACAAGCAACTAGATCTGCATGATAGCATGGAAGTAAGTACTATACATCAACTTAGGTTGAGTAAGAAATAAACCTGTTATGCAAAAGAATGACATGATTTAAGCAAGAAGATTGAGCAAGATTTGGCACAGGATGGACCAACAAGCTTGGGTGAATGTTGTTTATGCAGTTTTACTTTAGCTGAAGCTTTAGATGAACATTGAATAGTGGCCAGGAGAAATTCAATTCGTACTTCTAGACCCATTTACAATGGAGCACTGTATTAGAACAGATCACAGATAAGAGACAAAGTTTTTGGTTGACAAAGAGACAGATAAGCACATTTGCAAAAAAAAATAAGTGAATGGGTATGAATTTATGAGATGAATGAACAGGCTATGGAATAAATCTACTAAAACTTACCTAGGTGATAAAATGGTCTGAAAACATAAGATGGGACATAAATTTAGAAAATAGGAAAAGACATCATAAATTTGTGATGTGTACATACACACCACAGGGAGTCCAAATATTTAAAAAAAATATATCACAGAACAAATTAATGCACAAATATACCCTACATAGTAATTACAGTACATCATGGCAGATAATCAAGTCCAGTTTGCAAGGTGAGACTAGAGTAGAAATTGAAATATATAGTGAAATGTATTTATGAGTGAATTAATCTGTTGGGTCATCTTCAATCAGATGTATAATACAAGAGGTTTCTATAAAGTTCCAAAAATAGAACTTTTGATTAATTGATGTAATCCACATACATGTTATAACAAATGCTCAAATGCAGTCAAACCCAGACTCTTGATCTAAACAAGTTTTCTTTTTTCTTGATCATATTGCTATTCAAAGAACATTTACAGTTCATCCTTTTGTTGAAGGTGCTTTAGTACAAACAAGTACATGTCTTCTAACTGACGATTTCCTTCATAGCTGTCAACTCGTTCACCATCTTTGTACAAATAAATTGATGGGTAGCCTCTGACCTAAGAAAAAAAGATAAAATACATATGAATATTTCTGATCAAGGTAATTGTCTGTGTTGCATTCAAATATTGTAGTGCTGACAAAACTTTACCTCCTGCTGTTTACAAAGATCTTTATTGATGTCAAGGGTGCAGTCAACTTTTCCAATAGTGACTTGACCACTGCCTAAGAACTTGCTTCCAAGCTCATCCCATGTAGGTGACATTCTCTTGCAATGTCCACACCTAAAATTGCAGAATCAAATTTTATTATCACAATTTACAACAATTGTCTTGTACTGATTACAACTTACGACATTACTTACCATGGGGCAAAGAACTTAACAAATGTCATTCCTTTCTCAACAACATGTTCAAAGTTTTCACGTGAGAGCTGGACAACTGGGTTTGATATTGATGGGATTTCCTCTGGAGCCTCAACAAGGTCAACTCCCAGTTGACGACTAACATAAGATTTGAGATCTTCAATAGAACGATCACCAGAGTACTTCTCCACCTAAAACATAATTGATTAGATTTTCTGTCAATGGATTATGTGACAGATTTAACAAGAGCTGACAAAAAGGTTATCTGGTGATGACACTTGCCTTTTGTCCATCTACAATCCACAGAAGTGTGGGGTAACCCTTCACTTCAAAGCGCTGGCAGACATCTTTGTGCTCAGTGCAATCCACTTGTGATACTCTCACATTAGTAGAGAAATGGAGGGATTCAGCAAGTTTTTCCCAAGTTGGTACCAATTTCTAAAATTAAGGAATTAACTCAATTAAGTATCAGTTTAAAAAAAAAAATACAGTCTAAAAAAATGTGTTTAAAAAAATTGACCTGAGCTGATAAAACATACCTTGCAATAGCCACACCATGGAGCATAGAACTTAATAAAGTGATTACCAGTAGCAACGTAATTGTCAAATGTTTCTTCAGTTAATTCAACAAGTCCACTAACTGGTGCTGGGACTTTTGGTTCCTCTTGCGTTTCAGCTGGTTCCTGAGCAGCTTTACCCAACTGTTCACTGATGTAAGATTTTAGTGCTTCATAATCACGTCCTCCACGGTACTTTGTTCCTTCGTCATGTCCAGCCTTAAAGAACTTTAGTCTGAAAAGTACATAATTCCCCAATCAATTTTAGGTGTTGTAATATTAAATACATCAACAGTTTTAAAAACAACACTGATACTCACGTAGGGTACCCTGTAACATCATGCTCTGAGCACAAAGCTGTTTCAGCAGTGCAATCAACTTTGGCTATGATAACATCAGTTTCGGTAGATGCATCATTGTAATCCTCAGCCAACTTTTCCCAGGTTGGTGACAGGCGGGTGCAGTGACCACACCTGCAATCATTGAAGTTAAAATCATGTGATAAAAAATCATGTCATAATAATACAAAGAATGGGGAAAACTTAAAAAAGTAAACACTATTTTTGATTTGTTTTACTATATAGGAATTTTTACGGTAAGTGGGATTTTAACAGTAAGTAATACCTGATAAAAAATCAAAAAGTCAGGCAAGTAAAAACTAAACAGAAGCAGTAGGTGAATACTTCTTCATTATTATAGCGAGTGAAACTTTTTGAGGCTGTACTAACCATGGTGCATAGAACATTACAAAGTGATTATTGGTAGCAAGACCCAAGTTAAATGAGTCGCCTGAATACTTGACAGCCTTGGACTCTTCGTCGTCATGTCCACGGGCTCCACACAATAGAAGACACGTAAAAATTGCTAGCAAAAATGACATTTTATCAGCGGGGGCGGCCTTTATGCGGTGGCAGGATGACTGGAGTGGCAGACGGCAGACGAAGTTTTGCTGAGTTTTGTTTTCAGTGTTTTTGCCGAAGTGAGCCCGAAATCCGCCGGTCGACTCGGGTGGGAGAATCGGAAAGAGTATGAGAACTTTAGAATGGGCGCATTCTGTTAAGGAAAGTTAGGTCGGGAGGTCTGTCGGTCTATCGAGTGGTCAGGCTGTCAGTCGATCGGTTGAGGTGTGTGTCGAGGTGTCGATGTGAGGCTGGAGATCGACCGGCTGATCTCCCGACCTTCCCAAAACGTTGCAAATACGAATGTGATGTTGTCAAGACTCTCAATTACCTTTTCCTACTCATTGGTAACATCCCGCAGCATCTAAGGATGTTGATTTGTTGATTTAAAGCTAATAAACACAAATGGGGCGATGTTGTTGGTCGACTAACCTAACCAGGTTAGATCAACGTCTCATCTCACCGTCGGGTCAAATTTGAATGAATCAACGATAGGCATGTGGTCAATGGCTAACAAAACAGTCATTGGCAATCATTACAACTATAAATTCCTTGGTTTAAACATGTTCAACGTTGGGTCAGGGTTGGGAGATCAGCCGATCGATCGCCCGCCTCACCTCGACCGATCGACTGACAGCCTGACCACTCGATAGACCGACAGACCTCCCGACCTAACTTTCCTTAACAGAATGCGCCCCTTGCAACCGTTGACGTCACCTACGTCACGTGACGTGTTGTCAAAGTGAATGTGAATGAAGCAGAATACACGAAACCGACGACGTTCAAGCCAGAAATTTAGTTAATATTTTTCAAAGATAAGGGAATTGTAAGTACTTTTTTTTCCACTTTCTTCGCTCTGAATAGATTTTTTTTTGTTGATTCATTTTGATTTTCTGAAGTCCGAATGTTTTAGTAATAATAACCGTTAAAAGGAACCGGTAACACGGTCATTTAATATTCTAACCCTCCCTTTCTGCCAAGTATTAGAACTAATAAATAATGCATTTTATTTTTCTGGGATCTAGGCAATGCGTATTTGGGTAGTACTCCTACTCGTGGGTCTGATCGGATCGCAGATATGGGTCAGTGCGTTTCGAGAGGATGCAGAAGACAACGAATTTGCTGAATTTGAAGACTTTGAAGATGAGGATGCTGCGGCTGCTAGTGCTAGTCATGATCGACCCCCAACTACAGAGCAACAGAAAGCTGCTCCTCCAGATGCCAAAACAGTAATTAAAGAAACAGAGGACGAAGAAGAGGAAGATACAATTGTGGAGGTAAGACAGCTATCAAAGCGTTTGAAAAATATTTCTAGGATGTGATTACTCTAACGGATCTCACATCATGTGACACATACCTCTTTCGTAATACTTACCAATTACTTTATGTATCTTTGCACAGGATGAAGATGACAACGAATTCGAGCATTTTCAAGATGAGGAGGAATTTGAAGGGTTTGACAATGAAAGACCAGTCAGTGTCGACAAGACTGATGAGAAGGAGGTCCCAAAAATCACAATTACCAAGGTGAGTATCCATATTCAGCTTTGTCAATCCTATGTAATTGGAATACAAAATGTGCAATAGCACAGGCATAAATGCATCTCTTTTATATTTTATTAATTAGGTTCCTCTCCACTTGAGAACCAATTGGGATAGTTTCTACATGGAAATGTTGATGTTGGCTGGTCTCACTGTTTATTTCATCAATTTCTTCACTGGTAAAAATAAAAACCAAAGAATTGCAAATGCATGGTTTTCTACTCATCGCCAACTCTTAGAAGATAATTTTACTCTTGTTGGTAAGATATCAATGCAACTTCCCATGCTACAAAAGACTCTAGAGCTCTTGTAACTCTTAAATTTGAATATTTTTGTCTTTCAGGTGACGATGGAAAGATGGAAATTGAAAATCCTGGTCTTATTAAAGAATCCGAACATAGTTACACCTTATGGTGTAGTGGTCGCTTGTGTTGTGAAGGGATGTTAGTTGAACTGAAGCTTTTAAAGGTAGGCTCTCTCTCATTTCACAATAATTTTTTTGCTGACTTGCTGGTAATTACATAGATAATCAAGATAAAATAATTCTACCAATGTAAAAAACTCTTTTTGTATTTTAGAGGCAAGATCTTGTGGGTGTTATTGGACAAATTATTCGCCCTACCATGGACCAGATCCAGATCCGTGTTGACATGGCTCGTGAAGACATGGATTCATTTGTTTTCTGTCTGGCAACTAAAAAGAGTGGACTACGTCTTTCGAAAGAAATGCAAGACCTTAGTCTTTATTGTCCTGAGAGGAGAGCAGGAGAGAAGTTTGGTGTGCCAAGTAATATGTGTGTCATGAGTGAGATGGGAGAAGTATCTTCTACACTGCTGGACTCAAGAGTAACTTCATTAGTAAATAAGTATCAAGACATGATTGAATTCATGCATTTTTCTGATCAGTACTCTGGCCCCAAGCAAACTGAAGACACTGCTACTTTGGTTAAATTACCTGAGGTTTGTATATATACTATATGAATCACTTTGGTGCCAACTTTATTTTGTGTACTCATGCTTATTGGTTTGTTTGTCTGTTATAGGTCAAACGAGTTCTAATTTTCTGCTTCAACATCCCAATTAAAAACCAAGGAATGCAAGAGAGTATTGATCAGATGTTACCTATGATGCATTTGGTCTTCTATTTCATGGATAAAGTAAAGAGGTTCCGTCTTGGGAAAGAAAGCAAACAAAAGGCTGATAAGAATCGTGCTCGTGTTGAGGAGGCCTTCTTGAAGACCACTCATGCTGCTCGCGCCGAAGCGGCTGCTGCTAAAAGGGAGGAGAAGCGCCGCCAGGAAAAGGAAAGGATCATGCTGGAGGAAGACCCTGAGAAGCAAAGAAAATGGGAAGAAAAAGACATGAAACGACAAATGAAGAAAAAAGCCCCCAAAATGAAGCAGTTGAAAGTAAAGGCATTGTAAGGTTGTGGTCTTTGTACAAGGAAGTATTTTGCTAGTCATTTTTGCTCTTAGCATTAACATCTTTTAACTTGATTTCAAATGAATTAGGATTTCAGCTTTGTATCCTGTTTTGTAACTGATATTGCTTATAATTCTTAAGTCTGCCTCTTGGAGTTGGACTTCTTAAAATATTTTTGAGCAGCTACATTGTGTACAATATGTGAACTAGTTTTCAGTATTTGCTAAAAATACTGTTATACATTGTAGTGCTGTTTTTCTATATCAATCCCATGCCTTATTTATTGTTTTATTCATCCACAAGGAAATCAACCAACTATGTACTTTGTGTGCATGTGTAGAAAATGTTTTCCTATTCATTTCATATTCATGCTTGGCGCAGGTTGTTGTGTATACCTTTGTAATATACCCAACCAGGCGGAAGTTGTCTCATGTGTTGTTATTGTGTTTTTAGTTTATCTGTGTTTTTGTACAATTATTTGGCATTTCTTTATATTTTTAACAAGTGTGTTTTTAATATCAAAGAAGTCTCTATCCATTGCTGGAATAGATCAGATATCTAGGCAGCAATTTCAAATTAATACCACTTTGCCTACAGAAATTTTTAGAAAAAATTGTCCACAAGTGGTTTATTGTAAGTCCTAATCGTTTCATGACTGATAGCATTTAGAACTTCCTTTGCAAGAATTAATTAATCCTTACTTTTGTTGAATAAGATGTCCCTTTCTCACAGACAGAGCTGTCTATTGAATTTGTTTTTCATTAGAAGTAATGATTCCCTTTCTTAGAGACTGAGAAATCTCTTGCTTTATGGTATTCCTGTTATGTTTTGTCACCTTGTAAGCAAGCAATAAAGAAAATATTACTTGTTCAACATGGATTTCCCATCTTGTTGTTATATTTTAATAACTGAAGCCACCTCATGCTAGGTTTTATTTTTCGTCGGTTGTATGCTACTTGATTGAGTCATCTGCAGGACTTTCCCAGCGGCTGTCAAAATAAGATACGGTTTTGCCGACCCCTTACTTTTACTTTTATATGTAATTAAAAGTTGATAAGCACTAAAAGTACCGTTTAATATGATTGCAGGAACTCAGCCCAGAAATGTTCTTGACAGGAGCAAGAGAAGTCTATGGAGTCATTTTACCCAAAAGAATAGGTGAGTTGACATGACAGTAACCGCCAACGCTGGTCCAATTTGTCTCCACTAAGAGGAGCTTCCTTTCGTGTGCATCAAAGGGTGGTATTTGATGTTTTTTGTGGTGCCTTGGTTCTTTGTTGTCGATTTCAATCCTCCTCTGTCAAAATCCAGGCTGATTTGTTATCACTGAAAATGTCTTTTAAAAATCTTGGCGTTTTGGAAAATTGCTGGAATTGGTTTGGATTGGTGGGGCAGACTCCCTTTTCACATGCTCTGTCTAAATATCATGGTGCCAACCCACTACAGCAGAGTTCTTAGCCAGTGCGCCTTAGGTAGCCTACCCGCCCTTAGTTAGAGAGACCAGCTCTTATGAGACTCAAGTTTTTGTGGACAGGGGTGGTTTCTGACAGAAACAAAGGTAGTTTTGTGGTGCCTGGTTCACTCCTGTCGATCCGAATACTCCTCCATCGAAATCCGGACCCATCAATTTATAGCCTTTGTAAATTTTGCCAAAAATGAAAAAAAAATGAAAACGCTGGAAATGTCGAAATGTCGAAATTTCGCGCCGCCGGTCCATTTCAAGTGAGTTGCGCCTGTTTTTCTTGGACCGGTTCGCCTGCGAGGTAGACAGCCCATCGTACGCTACCCGCCAGATTCAAAAGACCTCCTCTTAAAACTGAAGTGTAGGACAGGGGTGGTTTCTGGCGGAAACAAAAGTAGTTTTGTGGTTCCCTGGTTCACCCCCTGTCGGTTCGACTACTTTTCCGTCGAAATCCGGACCCACCCATTTTTGCTAAAAATGGGAAGGCTATAGCCTTTGTAAATTTGGCCAAAAATGAGAAATTTGAAAATCGCTGGAAATGGTTGGGATTGGTTTGACAGCACCCTCTTACTAACTCTCCGTCGAAATTTCACTTCTCAGACCCATTTTAAGCGAGTTACGCCCGTTTTTCTTGTACCGGCTCGGCTGCTAGGTAGGCAGCCCGTTGTACGCTGCCCGCCAGATTCAAAAGACAATCCCTTAAAACTGAAGTGTCTCTGGACAGGGGTTGTTTCTGGCGGAACCAAAAGTAGTTTTGTGGTCCCCTGGTTCACCCCTGTCGGTTCGACTACTTTTTCTTCGAAATCCCGACCCACCCATTTTTGCTGAAAATGGGAAGGCTATAGCCTTTGTAAATTTGGCCAAAAATGAAAAAAATAAAAATTGCTGGAAATGATTGGAATTGGTCTAGGAGAGTCGACTTTGACCACCTCTGTCGAAATTGCATGCTTCCTGCCTCTTTTGCATCCTGTTTTTTCGACTATAAAATTGCGTCTTTGGTGTGTTGCAGGAAGATTATCGGCCTGGAGGTGCACCTGTCCTGGACATCAGCAAAGCAGCATGTGTCACCTGCTGTATGCTGAGTTGGAGTTGGAGCACACAGGAGGAGGAATCGCTCCTTTTTCTCGTGATTGCAGGAATGAATCTGGTAAGTTTTGACTTTCAATGTGATGTTAACTTAAAATACCAGTACTTTTATGGTAGTCATGTCTGGTAAAAGTTTATTTTGGTATTGTTTCTTTTTGGGGGTTACTTGTCATTTCTTTACTGCTTATTCTCATTGCATATATACAGCTTATTACTTGAGCCTAAAATATATAGTTGTGTTTTAATTTTAGTGCATAAATGGAGG